ATCATTGCTGTATACGAATTTTCGTTTCGCTTTTTTTATCCCATTGTAACCGTGAACACATTTTTGACTGAAATCTAGGCACAGTTGTCTGCACAAGTCGTCTATAATATAATACAATACAATAGCACTATTTCTGCGCTCTAGAGAATAACAGCATACCACTACACTTTCTCTGTCCATTTCTCTCCTGATTGATCATAACAGATTCCACTGTGCGTCATGCTATCGTTGTGGTCCGCCATCCTGATCTCTTTCCCGCATCTGAGCCTGGCCAGTGGAGCCGCTCTGAAAGGACTCTATGCGCTCTGGGTGTGTTTGTTGTTCTTGTCCTTGAGTGGTGTGTTCGCGATCATGCCCGCTGCCACTGGTATCCTGTTCGGTCCGGTCAATCTGGCTGTGAACTACGGTCTCGTGTTCAATGCCTTTGTGAGTTATCGTGGTTTGTACAGTCAATAGTGACACAATATATTGATTGTTTGGCAAATCAAATCTCGTGACTAGTTGTTGCATATAGAGAAACTGTTGGTACTCCGTATCGTTCTAGCAAGATGTTTTGCTGAACACCAGTAAAATTGGGTAGTGTTTTTGTATTGAACTTAACCGATTGTCCTTCGGCTTATCCAGTTCACTATTCTAATTCGATCACTCTCCGTCTAATTTGAAGGATTTGCACAGTTTTCCATGTGATCAATTGCCGCCACGTTTTTCTCCCACTAACACTTTTCACACGGATTTTATGCGCATAATTCCCGTTATACTGTTAGGTATATATATGATTGAGAGCAGTGAAAAATACAGACCACGGAGTTTTCGCATTCCGCCGCCGATCTACTTTTCCGAGATTTGGAGGTTTTGGCCAACTCATCAGCAACATAGATTCAGAATAAGACGAAATGCTTGTTCTATATCTAATGAGTTATCGCATAGTTTGTTTGTTCCCGCAATTTATCCCTCGACTGACGATACCACCATTTTCTTTGTTGTTTCGATTCCCGGTTGCCTGTTCACTTATCTACTTTCGCTTTGCTGTCCTATTCCAGGCTGCTGGTAGTGTCATTTGTGGTGTGATCACGTCCGTGGTGAACGCGAAAGATGCCTATTTGATGCAATTCACCGGTTGTGGAGTAGTCTGTCTCATCGGTGAGTGATATTATTATTATTATATTACCAAACTAGATGCCCATCTGATTTGAAAGAGTAGATTGCAAACAAATACGGTATTATCAATCTATGTAGGGTGTAAGTGATAAAAAATAGTGTTCCACGGTCAGTTCCTCCCCTGGTTTCTGGAGATACTTAATAGTTGTTCAGTTTACCCATTCGTTCCATACGAATGCTCTCTAATCTGCTCGTAAATGAATGTTCTTTGGGTATGCAAGTCGAAAGGGGAAGTTGTGTTACGATTTTGTGCATTTTGTTTACTCACACACATGAATGTTGTTTAATTCGGTGACTACCTCACAACAGAAATATTGTCTTCGTAGTTCTCGATTGTGATCGGTTTCTCGTATGCTAATGAGAGCACAGTCGCGGGACAAAGTCCCTCGGTATTTGAGTGTTGCATTGAATAAGACATTTTTACTCGGTCCTGAGTCCCGTACCAACGTATATTCTATACTCCTCATCTGGAGTGTTTGGTGATATAGACGTAGTTTTTACCTTTTGATTGGAATACTACCTACTTACTCTAAACTTCAGTGATGGAAAACAGATATGTGAGTGAGCCTCAATGATGAGAACTTACGGAAACCCACAGCCTGATTCTTGATACTTGGGGTCAAAAAAACATAAGGTTACTTTGATATCAACCTTTCGTTTAATCCGGCATCGATAAGTCTCTTTACAGCGTAAACTGTGGTAATGGCAGTATTCAGAGGTTCACCCTTTCAGATAAATCCACAGTGAATTATGTAAGCCGTCCAAGTACGAATGCTATTAACCAATCTATATTTTTACCCTAAGACACGTTTAGGTTAAGTCTCCGGAAAATCTACATTGACCTTGAATAGGTTAAATAGTGTGTGAGATCGACGCGATTTTCGCTTGTTAGTTGATAACTAACGTTTTCTGTTCCGGTTTCATACGCACTTCAGAGATGGGTGCGACAAGGGTGGAAGATAGACAAAACTATCCATATCATGCAGCTAATCTGGTGCAGGAAGACAATCAGATTGGGGTAAAACTTTGGGTATTAGGCAGCGTGAAAGTTCCGCCGATTGGGACTTAACGTTGTTTGCCTCAATAACATGAAACACTTTTTAGCAAGGCAAGCACGACGTAATGTCAAATGCTTAACATGTAACCGATTTGCATGGGTTGTGCAAGTGTGCATTCGGTAGGATCGCACACTACTCCTGACGATCCCTCTCAGCCTACTCAAGACGTCCGTCGCCTAATCAAACTAATGTTTTTATATAGTAAGCAGTCATAAAGAAAATGTAAACGCTTCATTATAATTGGTCTGAACTATTTGAACTTCCCTGAAAGAGCTGGTTGCTCGTCAACTCTGTTATGGCCCTGGAGATTGGCTTCATTTCGGATCACTTCATTGAGAACAGACCGGTTCAAAGAACGAAGGCAGGGTATGGTAGTTGCCTAACTGTGACTGTGAATGAAAGTTGTTAGTAGGCGTTTTTAGATTTCCTTGGTGTGGTCGAATTCGTTTAACGGTAAACTCTGCCCAGACCCTTCTAGGGTTTTCATTGCTGTGCGGGGATCTAAGTTCAGGGGGGGGGTCAACGTTTGCTCATTTCTTGTTAGCTCCAGGATTTGTAAATCCTATGGCACTCATTACTCCAATCAATAGTCAGCTGATACTATAGATGCCGAGTCTCTGTTGCTTCACTGACCTTGGTTAATTCAGTCCGCCATCCGTGTTCTTTTTTGCAGCACTGTTCACTGTGTTTTGGATTGAGGACAGAAAAATGGATCCACGTCTGAACATTTGTCGATGGTGTTCGACTCGGTGTATGAAAGCGCGTGGTGAACCCTCATCGTCCCACAATCCTGTCGAACTACAGGGTCGAAATGCCTAATATGGATGGATACACGAACAACTTGTCGTCCTACTTCCGTTTTTCCCCGTTCTCTTTTCCACCTACACATTACCAGTCTTCACTCTCCGCCTCAATTACAATCATTCATTCTGGTTGATAACAACATCAACAGCACCAGCAAGAGAGAGAGAGAG